ATCAACCTTTATGAAGGTTAAAAGTGATTGTAAGTGCAGAACTTTGCGACAGTTTTTGCACATTTTGTTTCCAGAAAAGAAACCACATTTATGTACACAAGATAAATTAAATAAAAAAGCTTAATCGCAATACCTTGCCAGGAAACACACATACATACACACAAAGATGTGCTCTAGAGAAGTCGAGCGTCAGACATTCTAATGGAGGGCAGGGAAGGATCTCTGTGGTGATTAATAGAGAGCAGTTCTGTTTTTGAAGCATTAAAGTTGACCAACTAATTCCTGCCCCAGTTCACAACCGATTGGAGGTCCTTTTCGAGACGCACGGTCAGGTTAATTTTGAGCTTATAAACAAATTCAAGTAACAACCGGCCAAATATTTTTTAAGTATTTTGACTTTGCTGTAGTTAAATACGCCGTAGCCACGTCAACCACGGACGGGCTGTATTTTGAGACGTTTAACGCCTGAAATATTTACGCGCCCCCGTGAAAATATCTTTAAAATAATATGTAGAATCTTATGCAATTAACAGCTGCTGCTTAACGCTTGGCACTCTCTAAGTATCATTTAATGCAGTTGCATGTCGTTGTCCTTAATAGCTGTGCATCTCCGTCTGACAATACCCAGCTGCCTTTCGAGGAAAAATGGCGCTCGGAATATTTAATTACTTAATATCAACTCTCGGCATCTTTCATCAGTCATTTAAACAATTTACAATCCTATGTAATTGATTGCAGCTAATCAGCTCTCCATAAAGCCGAAGTATTTTTAAAGCTTTTAAATCCTGCTGTACTTAACACTGTATCAACGCCCAGTGCTAATTTGACGTGTCTTGATTGATTGTTTTGTTTTTTTACGGCTTACCAACCCTTTACAGGTTATTCAAAGCCATAAGCCATTTTTAGAATGTAGGAATTTGGCACCCACATGACAGGAAGTAGCCAATCTAAAAAGCTCCTTTAAATTGATACGAGAAAATACTAAAATTAATAGTAGAAGACAATGCAAAGAGCTAGAAAGGATAGGACATCGTGGAGAGCTATTAACGTCCACATCCCGATTGGTTGATTGATTCATTCATTTTCTACGGATTATCAACCCTAAGTTAATAAAAAATAATAAATAATTTTAAATTATAATAATTTTTGAGGGGGTGGTGGGCGTTAGATAATAATGGTTTAGTGATAAAAGTCTTGTTGCAGTTTTTTTTGTGTATATATATGTACTAGTGAGCTAGCCCAAATGACTTGACTCACTTTATAGTCCAGCAATAGAAGGTTAACCAATCAGAAGACGTAGAATATTCAATCCGTCGTGTATAAAGGCGGCCATTTTGTTTACTCTATCCGAATGTCCAGTGCCAGCTTTTCAGGCGAAGAGGAACAGAAGGAAGAACTACGCTCTGCTACTTTACCGGGATATCCACTGCTAACTTGAACTACGCTTCCCTACTGTCTTCGAAATATTCACTGCTAACCTCTAGACGACCGTCATCAGGAACAACAAGTCTTTAGTCTTTTGAAGAGATTTTGCGAACGAATTGGTTAACTCTTGACCCAGACAAGCAACGTTTCATTCATATAGATTTCTCTGTAGTCTCTGCTCATTCTTTGTTGCGCCTTAAAGAAAACGCCGACTGTAACTTCGAACATTTAGCAGCCAAAAAATCTCATTACACAACAAAAGCCCCTGACAACGTCCAACAATTTTTTAAATGCTGTAAATTTACACCATCCAGAAGCAGCTCTACACTACGGATAAATTTCTCCCGAGTAAAGCCTAACATTGGTAACAAGATAACCAAGAATTGTGCAAGTTCCTTGCAATCGTGGCAAAGAATACGAAGGTGAATCAAGCCGACTCTCTAAAAGTAAGGTTGAGGAAACATGGAAAAACAAAACCGTAGCGAAGTGGGAAACAATAAAATCAGGCATAGCTGATCACATAAGGAGAAAAAAGTGTAGTAATCAGCGCTTGTGCAATGAAGTGAATATATCGGAGAGTTAAACGACTGTAATAACAGTAACTTGAGATATTTAGTAGCCAAACTATCTCATTACACAACATGAGCCCAAGACAACGTTCAGCAATGTTTTAAATGCTTTAGATTCAGGACAATTTTCAGAAGCATCCCCACTCTACAGATAAATCTCAGGCGAGTACAGCCTAACGCGACGACCAAGAACTGTGTGCACCCGATACCTTGCAGTTGAGGCAAAGAATATAAATGTGAAGCAAGATACCCCTTAATTAAAATCTGGCTAGGGCAAAATCAAAAAGCTGTAGTGAGAAGTAAGACAATGGAATCAAGCATGGCTGATCATGTATGAAGGGAAGACGGTAATGATCAGCTTCTGTCAGGTAAAGTGAAAATAATGGAGAGTTAGACTTCCGAAATATGCTATACCAGGTGTGGCCAAACTTGCTTAATATAAGAGCACTATACGATAAAGTTCATATGTTTGAGAGCCACAAAACATGAAGAAAATGTACACAAACATATTTGTTATATACACATTATATAAATATTAAGAAAGACATGTCTGTCATAATATTTATTCATGTATGCAGTTTTTTAAAACTTTAATTTGCACTGGTTCCAGTAATCACATCTTTCCCTCAGCACTAAAGAACAATATTTCTATGCTCAGGACTATCATTAAAATTAGCGTTCTTAAATATTTTTACGAACTATGAAAATTAAACTTACGCTTTAACTGAGTGGGATCTCAATTCATACCCAGTAAATAATTATAAAGCTTGAATTTTTTCTCATTTACCTTTTTATATTAACTGGGATGAAAAAGAGAAGTTCGGCTAACATATTTCTACGAGCCGCATATTAAAGATCAAAGAGCCACATGTGGCTCGTGAGCCGCACGTGTTTCATGAGCCGCATGTGTCTGGCGAGCCGCATGTTTCTGGCGAGCCGCGGTTTGACCAACCTTGCGCTCGGTTATGAGGGCCTCGTTAGTAGGTCAAGCACAGAAATAAATACAGAATGGGAGCCGCTAATGAACAAAAAAGACAAATGACAACAAATCTTCAACAGCAGCAGCTGTAACAAAAAGAGAAAAGTTTCGCTGAGTGGAGTCAAGCCGCACTCATTAGCAGGCAGGGTAGGTTAGCAATGGAGCGACAGCAACCTACTAAGTAGATTAAATAGAGATTTCTGTTTTGAATTTCCTGTAGGTTACCCGGATCAAAATACCCTTGATGAAGCCCGGATGGCACAACACTTGAAACGTGGTGATAGCAAGACTGGTGCAATAATCTACATGTAATTAGATTCAGTTGTAAATAATTGCTGCCAATTCGTTCTTGACAGCATCTAAGTTTATTTTAAAGCTTTTATACATCAGACCAAATAGATAATCACCCTTCGATGCATTTTTTATGAGTCACTGGGATATGGTGGGAGCTGTCTGTCAGGGCAAAGAGTAACATTCCACGGACGTTTCGGTAGCATGCTTTATATATTCACGTACTTATAAAATACACTTAGCATGATAAAAGTAATGATAACATTCGGCATTTCCTTATAAGGAAACATTTGGCATCCATTGAACTTTGGTTGAAATCTTTAAAATCTTTCAAGGAGTCACTGTTCTTGTTCTTTCGAGTATTGATGGTGGTTTTCTTCCTAGCTTTTTGTTCGTTAAATATACTGTTTAATAAATAAATGGAAGTCTATTCAAATATGGATTCCACTAAAATAATATTTAAGTAATAAAATCTGTCGGTTAATAATTAAAAAATACTTCTTTGAAATACATATATATATATATAATAAATTAATTGATTTAAAATATGTTTTTTTGGCTACACAGTTCTAACTATGTTTCAAAAATGGAATCTAAAAGCCCCGAATTTAATTTTGTAATTAAATTAAAGACATTTCATCCTCAAGCGAATTTTGGAGTAACTTTTAAAATTACTGGGTTTTAAATACACAGCTAAAACAAAATTCATGTTTCCAAGGTTACAGATAAATATTTTAATATAATAGAGTATTGCGCGCATTTTTGTCGCCATATTTATTACAACGTTTCGGCCGTTGCACGCTCCAGTTTTCTTCAGGTGGTTGGAATGTTGAACTGAACCCTTTATTTCGCTCACTGTGGTAGACTGTCAGCATCTTTATTATGTCATTATTTTCTCTTCGGCTGGCATATGCTATCCATTTTAATTGTTGCTGCTGTTGAAAGTCCGCAATTGATGTAGTTTTTTGTTATAGAGCTTTGCGATTCTGTAGCGTCTGTTCACGAGGTTCGAAGATCTAAAAACTTCCTGCCATTGATGCTATTTTAATCATTACTCTGAGAAAGCGACTGTAGACAGTAGACAGTTTAAACATTTCTGATCCAATTTGACACCATGCATGACATCCATATGAAAATCTGGATCTGACAAGGCCATTTAAGAACATGACTTGAGATTTTAGGTTAATGTTTTGGTTTTATAACAATTGGCGGTATTAGTTGAAACTATCCCTAATGTATCCTATTCTCTGTTCAATTTCTTAATCTTCTACACTTAACTTCTGATCCACACAGTTGAATTTGAAGTGTGCAATATTTATTAATTTCACATCCTGATTTATTAGGATAGATTCTGGGTAAGTTCCATTTCTGCTTTCATTCCAATTCCACATCATAGTCTCTGTTTTTGGTAAAGTTTATCTTGAAACATATTTCTTGGAACAATTGGTAGAGGATTCTTTTGTTTTGTTGGAAATCATTCTCATGAACAAGTTGTATAGCCTCCCTCATTTTGTTTGCTACAACGCAATGCTAGCTGACGAACAGATCAAACTCTCAATCAGCGATGTTCGAAAGTAGTTTCCTAGACATAGATCTACAGGTCAGGAACTTACGGAAAACAAGGAAACAGAGCTCTTGTCATTTTCGGGGTGTCTTCTTTGGGTTGCTTTTCAATTTGTTTTTTTTTTAAATTCACAAAAAAAAATATCTGTATTTGGTGTTGTTTACAGGAATCGATGAACAAGGCCAACACAGAACTCTTGGAGTTGAAGAAGAAGGCCAATGAATGGGAAATAGCCGAAGAGAGAAGAATTTGGGAATTCCAGAAAAAGAAAGCGGTAAGACGGTGTTTTGTATTGAAAAAGAAACCAATTCCGGTATTACTTAGAACCTATTGTTCTCATCTTCCTTGTTAGAGATGTTATTATAAATATAACGTTTCGACCAAGTACTATATGGTCATCATCAGCTGTCTTGATCGGAAGATATAGAACATCTTGTGATATTCTGTTACTCTAATGATAATTATTTTTCTTTTATGGTAATGACTAAATGATGCAGCAATGTAACAGGAACGAACAATAATTGATATAATTTCTTGACTGGAAAGTCGAAAGTACTCGAAGAAAAATAATAATAAAAAAAACATGATACTCAAAATCGTATCCGGAATTTGGAAAAGTAAAAAAAAAATAATTTAAACAGACACAACTTGGTGCTTGTTTGGATGAATTCTTGCTGCAAACCTCATATATATATGTGTGTGTGTGTGTTAAATAATGCACTTCAAATATGCATCGCAACCCGACGCCGATAATTCTATGTGTATGTTGGTTTGGGCAGATTCTTGTATGTCTAATTGGGCAACGAATGGTGATGTTGAATGTATTTTATTATTAACTTTTATTTTATCATATATATATATATATATATATATATATATATATATATGATAAAATAAAAGACAATTATAAAATACATTCTTAAATTGGAACCCTGTGACTGACCGCACAAAGGTGAAAATAAATACCAACTAAACAGGCCTACTCACACAATTACAAATACACATTACCATCCGTTGGCCACTTACACATACAAGAATCTTTCCAAACCTAGACACACAGAATTGTTCACGTCGGTTTCCGATCCATATTTGAAATGCATTTGATACTTTTCAAAAACACAAACGCACGCGCACACACAAACACACACACGTATATATATATATATATATATATATATATATATATATATAATAAAATAATAAAATAAAATAATTATTAAAAAGACACAATTATTATATTATTATTATTATTATTATTATATTATTACTCTGTCCTGGACATTGAATTCTGCCTGGATTCTTTCCTCTTTTAAATTTATTTATATAGATTTCTATATATATGTAATTATATATATATATATATATATATATATATATATATATATATATATATATATATATATATATATATATATTCTGACTCTCCGTCGTTTCTAACGTATCATGGTCAGGCAGTTCAGTTCTTAGAACCAAAAATCAAAATAACCGCTCATATCATTTGATTATAATGGTGAAGGCGTGTGCAGAAGCAATCACACATTTTGGTAAGAGCCGAATACAGAGAACTGGTGCACAGTATGCGACAATGACCCCAATACGACCGTCTTTATTTTTGAAACTCTGGATCGGTGTAATCACGTCGGATCTAACGACGGTTTCTCCAACCAGGGAGGACCCATGTTCGAATACTCCCTCATTAATAAGATTCCTCGAATACTCAAGTCGGTAGACAAAAATAGATAAATATACTGTTTAAGAAATAAATGGAAGTCTACTCAAATATGGATTCCACTAAAATAATATTTAAGTAATAAAATCTGTCGGTTAATAAATCAAAAAATACTTCTTTGAAATACATACATATATACGATTATTTCCTTATTTCATTCTACAATTCACTCTCGAGTAGTCATGTGTGACGTCATGAGATGCGGTGCGATTTTCGCTTCTAGCGTCTTATATGCGCGTGTTCATCGTTGCTTAGTGATCCACTATGTAAACAAAACAATGACAGACTATCATCGCTGTCGTGTCCGTATATTGTTTGATATGTTTGTAATTACATCTTTGATAATGGCTTGAGTAAGCCGAAAGCTTAGATTTTATTAAAAAATAATGGATAAATATTGTGAATTTCTTTTTTCGGTTAATGATAATGTTACCAAACTTATCAGAAGATACAAAAAACATTTTACATAAAATAAATAGACAACACTTGTCTATATTATTTAATGAAACGTATATATATATATATATATATATATATATATATATATATATATATATATATATATATATATACTTCTTCGTTTTATACGTCATATCGTAGCTTAGTGTTTTACGACAGGTAATCAGTAGGCCTTTACACTTTATTTACTCTACACTTTATTTATCCTATATCCATCCCATGCAAATATATAAAATCCTATTTGCCAATCCCAGCTTATACCACACATCAGGTTCGTTGACAGGGCGCAGCTTCTCGTAGTTAAACACTTGTGGCTTAAAAATGACCCTTCGGCCAGATCGTTACCCACGAGTGAAGAACAAAACAATTTCTAGCAGTAAACCTGATTTTATTCTTAGGTTGTAACTTACTGCTATAAGACAGCGGAGTAGGCGTAAATGGGGGTGAGGTGCGCTTGTTCAGCGGCCGTAGTCTATGTCTGTTCTACGAGGGCCACTTCCTTCCTTCTGTTTTCCTTTGTGTTGGATGGTCAGTTTTATAGACAACAGTTTTCTTTGTCTTGTCATCTGCGTCCAAAAATGTAATTAATCTTTCTTCTGTCATTTTCTCTCGGTATGAGCCTCTCGCTCTTTTACTTTGAAATTGACTCCAATTAATGATAACCATCTATCGAAAGGAAATGTTCCGTATCAAGTTATGCGACAGGAGCCGCTGTTTTATGTTTAACAAGACCTCGGTTTGAATCAATTTGACTACACAAGTAATAAAGACCTAACTAAGCAATTTACCTTCTCAAATAATGAACTTCAATGTAAACAGAAGGATTTTGTTCCCCTTAAATTCGTGAATCGAGTTTATCCGTTTCTCTTTAAATGTTCGTTTATGTAAGAATGTAACAAAAGAGACTTCTCGCGTGATTTAAAATGTAATGAACGAGTTTTCACGCGAGATTTGATAGCCCAATGACAATATCTAAATGTCACTTGGGATGCAGTTGGCTGTGTTTTTCTTGCAGGGTGAAAATGCTTGAATCAATGTTTCGTTCTCCGTCTTCTGCAGGAGCGGGAGTTAGCTGTCGAAATGGAAGAAGAGAAAAAGAAGAAAGAGAAAGAAGCGGCCATTGCTAAACTTCGAGCGATGCAGGAGCATACAATTGATGAGATGGCCGAGAAGCAGGCGATCCAAGCGAGGAGGGAACAGGAAGAGAAGGAGCGAAAATGGCTTCGCCAAGAACAAGAACAAGTCAAAAGGAAAAAAGAAAGAGACAATGACATGCTTCAATCTCGAAAGAAACAGATGGAAATGAAAGAACATATGCTTTACCAACAGGCACTAAGGGACAAAAAGGACTTCGAGAACATTCTCAAGTAAGACCATTAATCTTTTTTTTTTAATTTTGGGAGATTCTAGAGAAGCTCTATGGCACGGTCTCATTGCCAGAAAATCTATCTATACAGATTTCCAGCCTAGAGTGTTTCGGCTTAGCTAGACAAAGCTGTACTTAATTCTTAAACGATGTGAAAATATTATTTGGTTTCGTTTGGTTTGTTTTACAGCATATCAATCTCAATGGGTTATTTAATGCCGACATGATTTTTATTGCTGGTAATATAATTTTTTTCAAAAATGTATTTCTAGTAATATTTTTTCTTAAAAATGTATTACCGGTAATATTTTTTCTTCAAAATGTATTGCTGGTAATATTTTTTTCCTTCAAAAATGTACTGCTGGTAATATTTGTTTCCTTCTAAAACATATTGTTGGTAATATTTTTTCTTTCAAAAACGTATTGCTGGAAATATTATTTTTTTTCAAAAATGTATTGCTGGTAATATTTTTGTCCTTCAAAACGTATTGCTGGTAATATTTTTTCCTTCAAAAACGTATTGCTGGAAATATTATTTTTCTTCAAAAATGTGTTGCTGGTAATATTTTTCCTTCAAAAATGTATTGCTGGTAATATTTTATTCCTTCGAAAATTCATTGCTAGTAATAATTTAAAAAAAAAAGTATTGCTGGTATTAAAAACTGTTTGTACACTTGCATAGTGTTTTAATCCTAGTTCAGGAAGTGGGTCAACTATTTACCCATAGTTGGGACCCTAACAGGTGCTACCATCTCAGAGTGGACCTGGGAACATCGTTAATTAAGAGAAAATATTGTACTAACGCGCATGACAAACAAGTAAATAAAATAAGAAAAATCATATTTTAAAAAGTAGTTTTTATGTTTATTCTTGTTTTAATGATATTTTCTTTTATGTACCGTCCTCCTTCAGGGCGTAAGCGATCATGGCCCTCCACATCTTCCTGTCCCTTGTAGCTCTTAATAGGCTTTGTCTTTTTGTTATTTCTCTCAAACTCTGTTCTACCATTCATTTGCTCAAACACATCAAATATGTGACACACTCTTTTTCTCCGTCTCTAATTTGTACTGTGGGTAACAGATTTTCCAAGTCCTCCTTCGTCGTTAAGTGCTCCAGAAATTTCAACTGTCTCTTCCTGATGTAAATTATATGTTTCCTTGTTGTTTTCATTTTTTCCCAAATCTTGTCGATCCATGTTACCCTCAGTATCTTTTTGTAGAACCGCATTTCTATTGCGTCAAGTCTCTTGTTCAACTTTGAGTAGATTGCCCAGCTTTCGCTGTCATACAGGAGGACGTATCACTTAGCAGTTTAATAATCTTTTCTCTGTTTCTAACGAAGTTTTTCTGTCTCTTAATACTCTGCTTAGCTTTTAGAATGCATCTTTTGCTATCCCAATACGACTTCGGATCTCAGTGTTGCTTTTGCCATTCTCTGTTAGAACATTTCCTAGATATTTAAATTTCTGTATTTTTTTTTTTGCTTTTAGTGTCCCTGATTTCTAATTTGCATTTTGGGATCATCTTTGTTGCTGACAATCATGCAGTCTGTCTTTTTCTCGTTTATATTTCGTTCTCTCTTCTCGATACTAATCAGAACCCTAATTTCTAGATACTTATGCCAAATTTTATCGCTATCGTCCGAATACCACAACCGAAATCGAAACTCATCAACCCAGCAACGTTACTGTTCTTTATTGCCCAATTTTATCATGCTTAGCGAATTATAATTACCGTTTTTTTTTTGTTTTTATCTGAGAAGAATACCACCTGGTGCTAACTTCTCTTGCTATAGATCATCTAATTTTCACCCAATGCAAAACCTAAGAGTCACTCAAGCTAGAGGATTATTGCATGGGTTATTGCATGATGTTCATATTACCGCACACCACTGCAAATGACCTAATCTGAGGAAAAAATCGATTACATCCTGTCACTCCAGTGGGTCTAAAACTGACCGTATGATGAAAGAAAGGAAACTAAAGCAGTTGTTTCAATTAATTTGTACAAGGGTGTAGATATGAATAGATTGGGATAGATAGATAGATAGATAGACAGGTTTTAATCTCTCTCAGTCTATTTCTATCTATCTATCTATCTATCTATCTATCTATTTATCTGTCTGTTGTTGAGTAGTTTTCACAGTGGAGGCTAAGTCTGTCCTAAAAGAGTCCGACGTACAAAACGTTAGGAACTTGCAATAAGAGTTAATGACGCAATCTAGTTGTAATGGTTGATACTTCAATGTCCGACATCGACTGACTCGCTCAAATCCACTGAGCTCAACTGGCGACCGCTACTACTACTACTACTACTTATTATGTGTGGGAGTGTCTACTAATAATAGAATAGGTACGTTCAGGTATAACACTATCTATCTATCTATCTATCTATCTATCTATCTATCTATCTATCTATCTATCTATCTATCTATTTCAGTCTATTCATATATATCTATCTATCTATTTCTATCTCAATTTGTTCATATCTATCTATCTCATTCTGTTCATATCTATCTATCTATCTATCTATCTATCTATCTGTGAGATAAATATTGTGTGAAGGTAAGCTATATTTATGGCTAAAAGTGCTCAATATCAAAGATAGAGTGTGCGTAAACATGACAGGGTCCACAGTTGATACTTTCCATAGACATGGGAAGCATCTCTCCTTCAGGCCGAAGTTAAAAAGTTTTGCCAAGCTTGGAGATAACTCTGGGTTGATGTTCTTAAGTACAACTACTAGGATTTCATCCAGACTCGTGGCCTTCTTAGAGTCAAGGCTTTTGATAAGTATGGATATTTCCCGTGCTGTAATATAGATAATGCATAATTTGTTGTCCGTGAGAAGGGGGAATTCATGAAAAGGGGTGCTCCTTATCATCAAATGTAGAATTAGAAGCAAAGTTCATAATAAAGAGCCTAGCTTTGTCATAAGAGGATTAAACAACTACATGCCCACTTATGATGGCATTAACGCTTTGCTTCTATTAATTTATATCCGCTATTATATCTATATAACACACAGAAACACTCGGAACGGACCTTTTATTTTCAACATTGTGCAAAACTAGTATTTGCATTTTCTAGAACTAGAAACATTTTTGCAGTACGCTGACGCCTGTTGAGATACTTACAGTATTTAGATTCGTTCAATTTCGCAAACCAATCGATGTAATTTGAATAAACTGATTTGTTTGGAAAATTACTTTGGCAAAAACCCGACTTCGCGTTTTAATAATTTCTTTAATTAAATTTAATTTTATAGGACTTCATGGCAAGTAATATTTTTTCCTTATTGACAGATCACTTGAAAAAAAATGGAATTTGGCTCCAAAAAGAAATATTTAAGCATGTCTAGTTGTATGTTGCACGCTCCAAAGTAAGAAATCCTAAGAATTTATTCTTTGCTGTTATTAAGGAAAAGAAATTATTTTGCGAGAACTATAAGCAGATCACATGTGCAAACGCTTGAAAAAATTGGAATTTGGCTCCATAAAGAAATATTTAAGCATGGCTAGTTGTATGTTGCATGCTCAAGAGTAAGAAATCCTAAGAATGTATTCTTTGCTGTTAATAAGGAAAAGAAATTCTTTTGCGAGAACTATAAACAGATCACAAGTGCAAACGCTTGAAAAAATTGGAATTTGGCTCCATAAAGAAATATTTAAGCATGGCTAGTTGTATGTTGCATGCTCAAGTGTAAGAAATCCTAAGAATTTATTCTTTGCTGTTAAGGGCGAACTGAAAACTGGATACTTCTCCATTTGAAAATATATTAAGATGGTTTAGGAATAAACTTCATTCTTGGGATTAATACAACCCATCCTGTTCACAAAACGGTACATTGTAGTAGTCTGTTGTCAATTTTGGTTTCGACTGGTCAGTATATGGTTATTTTAGAGAGGCTGACGGATGGACGCAATTATAAAATGACTGGAGTCAAAAATTGAGATACGTCAGCAGCTACCACACTTAGGTCGACTGCAACATCTAAACGGTATTTTATTGGTACCAAGGACTCCAATGTATGCCAAGAAAATATTCTCCATCCGATTGAACTGCCAGCAGCAACCTAAACTGTTGAGACAAGGCCAGATTTTCTTGTTTCCCTGATAGCTATAATCTCCAACTATTCAAATGTAGTGTCAATCGACGTCTCCAGATGCCCTGATCTATCCCCTATCTTTCTCTTCATCCTTTCCTCTATCATTCCTATTTGTTTTGCTCCAACTCTCTGTAAACTCTTGCGTGCTAATGGCTTCCCGCCTTGCTTGGGGTGAAACCTTAAAAAAAAAGATATGACGCTCACTGGAATATTTTGTTCTGAACATTGTCGGTAAATCCTCGTACATGAAAAGCTTAGTAGATCGGTAGATTTTGAAATACTTAAACCCACCCGTCTTGTACCAACCTTTATGTTGTGTTCAAAGTCATTTAAAACAACTTTTGTTTCTTTTATATCAAACGAATGCGGTAAAATCTCTATTAATTAGGTAACAACAATAGTAAGAAGGATGAATAAATTCAAATCATTCTGTATGATTTTTCTGTCTTTTTTTTATTAGTTATCAGCGAATGCAAATGGAAAAAGACCGAAAAGCACAGGAAGAAGAATATGCTAGAAACATTGCATTCGCCAAAGACATTCGCGAACAAATGCGAGCCAAAGAGCAGGAAATAATCCGACGCCGTCAGCTGTTTTACGAAGAAGCAGAGCAAGAAAAAGAATATGCGCGTGCCTACAGACAAAAAACTCCGCGAAATAAAAGAGAAGAAATTTAACGAACTCAAGTAAGTGTCTTTTTTGACAGCACAAGTCTCTGTTTGTTTGTCTCTCTCTCTCTCTCTCTATCTATCTATCTATCTATCCATGTATCTATATATATATATATATATATATATATATATATATATATATATATATATATATATATATTACGGTTTATGAACCTTTTCCAGGTTATGTAAATCCAGAAAATATCTTTTTTTCGATTGTAAGAATTTTTTAGATATTAATGTTCTTTATTCAATACGAATCTTACTAATTAACCCATAGCTGGGAGAAAAAAGGTCGATTCATACCTTACTCAAGTGTATTTGCGTGTAAGTGAATGTAACTAACACGGATGGGATTAGAACTCGGCTCTTCGATTCCTAATTCCGAACCGTTATCAATTTATTATCATCATCATCCTTCAACCTCCCTGTGGTTGGTTGGAATGCCATTAACAATCTCTTTCCACAGTGTTCGTTCCTGTATTGCCGTGCCTTGATCCCAAATGTTGAACCTTGAGTCCCGAGTTATGGTCAACTTTCGTGAGAAGACACTCCCAGAAGAATGCCATGGGATTAAGGATGAGACGACCTCCGCGTCCGCTCGATGGCAGTGGCCGGCAAACTCTAATTGTGTTTATTTGAGCTTAAGGGAGATTGGTGTCAGTTCTTCGTAAATTGTGTTAATCGTTGCCTGGGATCTCCAAGTGATATTCTGGATTTTTCTAAGTAGATTTGTATCTGTTCCACCCAGTTGTCTTTCAAGAGTAGCAGATAATGTCCAAGTTTCTGATCCATACATTAGGACTGATTCAATCAGTGTTCGATAAGTGGACGTCATCATAATTAAAAGAAAAAAATAACTTGTAGCTCCAACGAATGATTTATTTTATGGAAATATTTCGATTAGCAGTTGCTAGTCTTGGTCATTCCTTAATTTGAATAAAACAGAGCAAAGGAACTCGAAACGCTAAAGAATTCAAATCATCATCATCATCATCAGCATCATCATCATGACCTTTCAGCCTTCTCTGAGGCTGAAGGGTCATGATCAACAATCCATTTCCGTACTGCTCGGTCCTACATTTTCATCCCCAGATCTCCAATGTCCAACCCCGACTCCCAAGCCATCGTGTTCGGGAAAGGCAACTTTCGAGAGAAAACACCTCCAGTTGTATGCCATAGAAGTAAGAATGAGATGACCTCTCCTTCCGCTCGGTGGCAGTGTCCGGCAAACTGTAATCCTTTTTTGTTTGAGCTTAAGAGAGATTGGTCTCATTTCTTTGTAAATTGTGTTAAGCATTGCATGGAATCTCCAACTGATGTTCGGGATTTTCCTAAGTAGATTTGTATCTGTTCCATCCAGTCGTCTTTCAAGAGTAGCAGATAATGCCTAAGTTTCTGATCCATACTGGTTCAATCAGTGTTCGAAAGGTTTGTATTTTTAATGGAAAGATGGAAAGTTCGAGTGCCAAATCTTGTGACGTTTGTTACCCGTGTTCCAAGCAAGAGCTTTTCGGATGTTGAAATTTAAAAAAAATCTGTTATGTGAGATCCAAGACATTTGAAGTCCTCAACTCTTTTACTGGATGTATTATTGAGTGAGTTCAACTCGGATTATCCATTAAACTAACGGTAAGTCCACGTTTACAGCATCTAGTACTTCCAAGTAGTCACTCATCTAGGTACTGACCAGGCTCGACCTTGCTTAACGTCGGTGTGTACCGGAATCGGTGTTTCAACGTTATATGGCCGTAAGCCCATTACACTACTTGTACATCAAAGCATACAGTAATTGGTATTCTCAAGCAAACCCATCTATTTATATAAATTCATTTAGTAGGTTATTTAATGTTTCTTTTTTAAAATTAAGGATGTTCTGTGAGGGTCAAATTCTCCAATTCCACATGTATCCGCGAAATTTCAGCCGTTTTTTCTTGATCTGTACCATAAATGTATTTTTCATTTTGATTTTGCTGCTTTTTAAAAGCGGTTCTTTGTTAGACTAAACTAATTCATATAAATCCCAAAACGTACACAGGTTACGGCAATGAGGCACACAGACGGAATGAGAGACGTCGATTGATTAAATTGTTGTGGCTCTGAGATGAATTTATATAATGTTTTTTTTTGGTTGCTCTTTTGTAGACAAGTTGGAATCCCGGAAAAATACCTGAAAACATTGGAGAGAGATTTGGAAATGATGAAGAAGGTGGAAGAGAATATGAAGCGCTGATCTCATCATCAAATCTGTGTCTGAAAATAATAAAGGAATCTTTCAATTGACACGCGGACGAATTTTGCTGCAGTTTCTTAACTGCATTCTTCATGTTTCATTCCACATGTGCCACAGAGGAAGGTCGGGAAATCAAGGGTTCGGGTTACTTCTCTTGCAAGTTGAGGTTATATTCACGCCATCGGCACTTTCTTCTACGCTGATTTTCTTACATCATCTTGATGGAAGCGAACAGCAATGAAGTAAATAAATTCTTGGTTACGTGATAAAGGCGACGACGATTCATATCTATCTATCTATCTATCTATCTATCTATCTATCTATCTATATCTATCTATCTCAGTCTCTTCATCGATCTATCTATCCTGTGTCTCTTCACATCTATCTATCTATCTTCACATCGATCTATCTATCCTATCTATGTCTCTTTCATTTATCTATCTATCTATCTATCTATCTATCTATCTATCTATCTATCTATATCTATCTATCTATCTAGTCTCTTCTATCATCTATCTATCTATCTATCTATCTATCTATCTATCTATCTATCTATCTCAGTCTATTGCTACGCGGTCTTCCTTTGATGCAGTTTCATAACTGGATTCTTCATGTTCCATTCCATATGTGCCACAGAGGAAGGTCGCGAAATCAAGGGTTCGGGTTACTTCCCTTGCAGGTTGAGGTTGACATTAAACAAATTCACGCCACCGGCACTTTATTCTATGCTGGTTTTCTTACATCATCTTGATGGAAACGATCAGCAAAGAAGAAATTAAATTCTTGGATACGCGATAAATCGACGACAATTCATATCTATCTATCTATCTGTTGTGGAGTATTTTCACAGTGGAGGCTTGTATTTCTAATAAGTCGTACAAAACGTTAGAAACTTGGAATACAATAGTCAATGACGCAGCAAATCTAGTTGTGATGGTTGGTACTTCAAATGTCCGAATCTCGACTGACGTTCTCAACACCATTCTGCTGACTTGCCACTGGTACTCCTTATTATCTATGGGAGAGTCCATTACCAAAGAATAGGTACTATGGCACAACACTATCTATCTATCTATCTATCTATCTATCTATCTATCTATCTATCTATCTATCTATCCCATCTTTTCTATCTATCTATCTATCTATCTTTTCATCTATCTATCTATCTATCTCAGTCTTCAGATCTATCTATCTATCTATCTATCTATCTATCTATCTATCTATATCTATCTATCTATCCCAGTCTTTTCATCTATCTATTATCTATCTATCTATCATCTATCTATCTATCTATCTATCTATCCCAGTCTTTTCACATCTATCTATCTATCTATCTATCTATCTATCTATCTATCGATCTATCTATCTATCTATCCCAGTCTTTTCACATCTATCTATCTATCTATCTATCTATCTATCTATCTATCTATCTATCTATCTATCTATCTATCCCAGTCTTTTCACATCTATCTATCTATCTATCTATCTATCTATCTATCTATCTATCTATCCCAGTCTCTTCTCATCTATCTATCTATCTATCTATCTATCTATCTATCTATCTATCTATCTATCTATCTATCTATCTATGTCTATTCATGTTTATCTCAATCTATTCATATCTTGGAGGTGCTTGTGTGGTCCAATAACTCTGAGAGCGATGCCGTCAAGAGTTTTAAACTCCTGAGATGGCCAACCTTGGCAGCAAGATCGAAGACGAGGACCTAGGCAATGGTGGGACAAGTGAATGACAATTAAAACAGATCTCACTGTTTGAACCAGCACGTGAAGAAGGTTACAGATGGCGCCACTCAAAATTATAACCTAGTCAGCGGCAGTACGTTAAAATTTCAGAACTGTATCTTGCACGTCTCATTGCAAATGTGCTGCAGAAGAAGACCCTGGAATCAAGGGTGTGGTCACTTCCTGGTAAGCTGTGGTCCACCTTAAACAATATTTTATAATCTTTTTGTTTAGAGAGGCAAGTAGGGATAGTCTGGAATAACGTGTCAAATCTAATGCTGGATATATATCAACAAGAGTTTGGTCAAGATGGGATACGAATATAAATATCTGGTCAGTGACACTGGTAACTTTTCAAGCACACTTTTGCTGAAGAAAAGAAAAACGTATCTATTCCACAACCATTAATAATGGCATCATTTAATTTAATTGGTCCAACAGTATAGAAAAACGGGAGATGCTGTATTCATTTTTTATTATTTGAATAGATTCACTCAGCTAACATTTGTCACGCTGTGTCGTTTCTAAATGTTACTTTTTCCTTTTACTGTATATGTATGGAATCCCCGCAAAATATAGTGTGTTACATTTCACTAAGCCAAAGATTTTCATGCAGTAGGCTTCTGTTTCTTTCTGCAGTAGACTGGTTGCTACCCAAGGCTATAAATGCCAGTCTGTCCAGCTATTGCTCTGGTTTTCTTATATCATCATAATGGAAGCGATCATTAAATTCTTGGATAGAGATAAGCCGAGAAAAAATGTCTGTGCGTTCTAAATACTGTGTAAAAAACCCGGAAGACACATAATTACCTTCCGAGTATCCGATGAGCATCCACATAAAAAAAGAAAAAGGAAAAATCTCCCCATAAACAACTTAAATAGAGCTCAGACCATTCCAATCAAATGCGTGACAGAGGAGTAGGGTTTGCCTAATATAAGTCAGTGTTTGCAGGCTGTTAATTTAGATTGGGGGGGGGCATCAGAGACTAATCAGCTCTGATGGGGTCGATTTGGTGAGGGGAGTATGATGTTTGAAAGACCCGAAACTGCCCAATGACCCAATTCAGAACTTCACTGACGACGCCCTCTAGCGCTAAAGAGCGTATATTCAAAATAATGTAAAGTTTGTTTCAAAACCTAGTTTAAATTATATACAAATGTGTTAAATTATATACAAAACCTAATTAAAAATATAGAAATTATTATATTCAGATGATACGAACTGGATGAAGAGTGGAACAAACAACAAGCTTTAGTAAAATTTTGCTGTTATAAAATCTAAAAAAGTCAGTAAAACCAGCCTTTCCAAAACTGCACTCAATTTGTTTTGGCCATCTTAGCATCGTTGAATACAAAGGAACCGAGACAGGTGAAAGAAGAAATGGTTTTCAATATTTTTCTCCAACATAAAGAGTTAGAATAACAGCTGGAGGATGGTTTCACTTAGGCTGATACATACTAAACGCTACGAACTCCAAAGACTCCAACGATGGAATAAACGGATGATTATTGCAACGGATCTCAACGGTTGAACCAGCGGATGAAGAGGGCTACGCACGACGGACATACTATAGAAGGCGCAACTCGAAATTATAACAGAGTTAGCGGCAGTCGGTTGCAGTTTCATAACTGGATCCTGCATGTCTCATGCCATTTATGCGTCAGGGGAAGATCAGGTAGATCATGAAAGCAAGTGTGTAGGTCACTTCCCTTGTAAGTTGAGATCCATCTTAAAAATTTCCCGCCATCGGCTCCTTATCTACTCTGTTTTTCTTTCACCTGCAATCAATTCTTGCAAAGCCAAACGGCGATATGTAAAGGATGATGGGGGGAAGGTTTTGATGAAACTGAAATCTTCTAAACTATTTACATTATTCGGACTATTGTCCCCATTTTTTATTACAACGTTTCGGCCGTTGTACGGTCCGGCCTTCTTCAGTATCTGTCTATATTTCTGAGATGAGGTATGTATATTATTTACATTATTCGGACTATTGTCCTCATCTTTCTCGCCATATTTGTTACAAAGTTTTGGCCGTTGTATGCTCCAGCCTTCTTCCGGTGGTTGGAATGTCGAACTGAACCCTTTATTTTGCTCACTGGGGTAGACTGTTCTATTTCCACGTGCCATATTTAATGGATGTCACTTATCAGTTATCTCCTGTTAATTCCCCTCTGCAAGTTCTGCACTGCCTTAACCGGGTATTGAACTCACGCACATTTGAAATTTAAACCGTTCACTACATATCCATAACGTTTTTCACTTCACAATTAAAAAAATAACTTTCAGATGAACTCAACAATTTTGTCTTAGAGTAAAAAAAATCACCCTGATGATGACATTGTGCTCATGTTGAAGTGCTCGGAATTAATATGTATGTATACACATGGTAATTTTCTCTCTTCCAATAATAAGTATACTAAGAAGTTTGTCTGTGAATATGAGAGGATCCTATTGATAATAAGTAGACACAACTTGTATAAATTATTCAATAAGACATGTCTTAATATATATATATATATATATATATATATATATATATATATATATATATATATATATATATATATATATATATATATATATATATATATATATATATATATATATATATATGAGTGTGTGTATTTAGGCATAACCGATTGAGCCACAGAGGATCGTTCTGTTAGCAAGGTCGATTTTACTGCTTTTAAACTACAATCGGTTAAGTCAAGCCAGGTTATATGACGGTTCCGTATAGGATACAGGTTCGATTCCAGTCGGTGGACGAATATTTTCTATGAAAATTTCTCGGACATTCAGGCCAGTAAATGTTGTTTAATACTGTTTATTATAAACAGAGTATTTACTTAAATATTTGTATCTATAAAAAAGAATGTATATACATAAAAATGTCTTAAAAATAATTGTCGGACTTGTCCATTTCATAATATATATATATATATATATATATATACATAGTCTTAAGGTATGCTATATTTATTGCTAAAAGTGCTCAATATCAGGGCTAGAGCTTGTGTATATATATATATATAAATAGACACTGGTCAACACCGAACGATTTCATACTTGAACGCAATCTTCAGGCTATGAAGGATCATAGCCAGAAAATTCCGTTTAAGCATTAAACAAACTGTCGCCGTTCGGTGTTTATCTGAATATCTCAAATTATGTTCCGCTTATATCCGTGTATACGTTAGGAGCTAGATAGTAAACTTATAGTTTAATATTACTATCAAGTCCCCTGACGAGTGGAATCTCCGAGTCGTAACAGATTTATTTTTTACTGAGAATTTAATTTAATTTATTACAATCAGTTGTCTATCTCTTGATATTGGCGATTTAATTACAAAGACAGTCCGACTTAAAAGACTTATCTTTTAGAAATATTTTTTTTTTTTTTTTATCGAAACTCAATCTTTGTTTATATATCTATATACATTATGTCCCCGGCTTACGACTGTCCCGACGTACAGCGATCCGTTGTTACGACACAATCTCCATTAATTTTGTTTCAACTTATTGGTCACCTTGTATATTATGCAGCCTGGGTCAGTTCTTGAATGAAACTATTTTGTGAATCCGCTCTCTTTCGTCTCTGTTGTGTTTGTAGAAACATACTGACCTTCATTACTGCTTACAATCTTAGCGTAACCCCTGCTAATGGTGGTGCTTCGAAAAAATAAAAAAAAATGGAAATGAAAATACACATTTTTAAACGCTCTGAAAAGGGAGAAACAACAAAGAATATTGGCCGGTTGTTTAGCTTAAAACATGCACATACCTGGCATATTTTACTGGCACATCGGGTAGGTTTTTATTATCTCTCAGTTGCGTCTCTGT